CTAGGAGGAGACATTACTCCAAACTCTCCCTTGAGGTCAAGACCTGGGATTGCATCTTGTGGGCAATGCTGCCATCACCCTCTCTGTTTTGGAAGGGCAGTAAACCTGCAGTGAAACAGGTTTTCAAGGCAGGGAACCAGTCCAGACACAGTGAGTCCATCCGCAGTGCATGGCAGCAGCTCCTTACATCCATCCCAAAGGAAGGTTTGCAGTTAACACCAGCTGTTCAGGTTTCTCTGGCACTCTGTGAGGCTCACAGCCTGGACTTTCAGATGAAGGACAAACACAGATGGCCTATGGCTCTTCTATCAGACTGAACTGCAGTCCACAGCTCTGCTAGCCTAGGCCCCCAGTTTCTGCCTAATTGCAAACAGAAGGACTTGTGTGAGGTACTTTCCTATTCATTAATTTCTGTCCATTCTTTCAATAGTTTAACTTTTTTAATTTAAGCACACTTTAATTCATGTAAATTAAAAGGAAGATTTGTTAACATCTTAAAAAGTTAATTAAAAAGAATATTTAATATCTGAAAAAATAAGATCTCAATCATTTTAACATACAAGTATTAATAGCAAATCATGTTCTCTGTGACCTGCCTAGCTTTAAAAAACACTTCCATTTTGGAGCAAGCCCGTTTACCAAAGGTTACATGTGAGAAATTGGGTTTGACAGGCCTAGTCTTCAGGAAATTAAAAAAAAGGGTCCCAGATATGCCCTGTTTTGACAACTGAAGGTTGCTAGAGAGGGCTAGTCCTCAAGTACTGAGGGATGAAGCATCTTAGACTCACTTGAGCACACCAAAGCAATGGTGTGGGAAGGGGTTGCTGGTGATGACAGCCGTTAGCACACAGTACCAACAGTGGGAGAGATCTGAGCAGGATCTACAGAGGAATTGTCCAAGGAGATAGGTATCAGGTTAGGAAAGCTAAAGCCCTGACAGTATTAAATCTGGCCAGGGACGTCAAGGCCAATAAGAAAAGCTTCTGCAGGTACATTGGTGATAAAAGGAAGACTAGGGAAAATGTGGGCCCCCTCTGGAAGGAAATGGGAGACCTCGTTACCTGGGATATGGAGAAGACTGAGTTACTCAATGACTTTTTTGCCTCAATCTTCACTAGCAAGTGCTCAAGCCACACCGCCCAAGTCGCAGAATCCAAAGGCAAGGACTGGGAGAATGAAGAACCACCTGCTGTAGGAGAAGATCAGTTTTGAGACCATCTAAGACACCTGAAGGTGCACAAGTCCATGGGACCAGATGAGATGCATCACATGTCCTGAGGAACTGGCAGATGAAGTTGTTAGGCCCCTATCCATCATATCTGGGAAGCTGTGGCAGTCCAATGAACTTCCCACTGACTGGAAAAGGAGGAACATAACCTCAATTTTTAAAAATGGAAAACAGGAAAACCCAGGGAACTACAGACCAGTCAATCTCACCTCTGTGCCTGGCAAGATCATGGAGCAGATCTTCCTGGAAACCATGCTAAGGCACATGGAAAATGTTGAGGTGATTGGTGACAGCCAACATGGCTTCACTAGGGCAAATCATGCCTGACAAATTTTGTGGCCTTCTACGATGGGATTGCAGCATTGCTGGATGAGGGAAGAGCACCTGATGTCATCTACCTGGACTTGCGCAAAGCAGTTGACACTGTGCCTCACAACATCCTTGTCTCTGGAGAGGGGCAATGGATTTGATGGAGAGATGTGGATTTGATGGATGGACCACTCAGTGAAGAAGGAACTGGCTGGATGGTTGCACTCAGAGGGTTGTGGTCAACAGTTCAATGTCCGGGTGGCGACTAGTGACAAGTAGTATCCCTCAGGGGTCCGTGTTGGGACCAGTATTATTTAACATCTTTGTTGGCAACATGCGCAGTGGGATTGAGTGCACCCTCAGCAAGTTTGCAGATGACACCAAACTGTGTGGTGCAGTTGACGTGCTGGAGGGAAGGGATACCATCCAGATGGACCTTGACAGGCTTGAGAGGTGGGCCCATGCAAACCTCATGACGTTCAACAAGGCCAAGTGCAAGGCTCTGCACATGGGTCGGGGAAATCGCCAGCACAAATACAGGCTGGACAGAGAATGGATTGAGAACAGCCCTGAGAAGAAAAGTCCTTCTTCTCTGGGGGTGTTGGTTGATGAGAAGCTCAACATGACCCAGCAATGTGTACTGAGGGCCTAGAAGGCCAGCCGTATCCTGGGCTGCATCAAAAGAAGCGTGGCCATCAGGTTGAGGGAGGTGATTCTCTCTCTACTCCACTCTGGTGAGACCACACCTGGAGTACTGCATCCAGCTCTGGGGCCCCCAACATAAGAAGGACATGGACTTCTTGGAGCACGTCCAGAGGAGGGCCATGGAGATGATGAGAGGGCTGGAGCATCTCTCCTATGAAGACAGGCTGAGAGAGTTGGGATTGTTCAGCTTGGAGAAGAGAAGGCTCCAGGGGGACCTTATTGCAGCCTTCCAGTACCTGACAGCGTACAGTAGTGGTAGGACAAGGGGCTTTAAACTGAAAGATGGTAGATTTAGATCAGATAGAAGGAAGAAATGCTTCACTGTGAGGGTGGTGAAGCACTGGAACAGGTTGCCCAGAGAAGCTGTGGATGCCCCATCAACATCCCAGGTTCAAGGCCAGGTTGGATGGAGGTTTGAGCAACCTGGTCTAGTGGAAGGTGTCCCTGCCCATGGCAGGGGTGGTGGAACTAGATGATCTGTAAGATCACTTCCAACCCAAGCCATTCTATGATTCTATGATCCTATTTATGATCTGTCCTGCAACATCTGGGAGTGCGATGAGACTTGCAGTGCAAAAGGGTGGTTGTACAGGAGCAGCCACCGGTGTGCTCTAATTTCCTAGGATCTGCGGGGAGACAGTTCCGTTCCCCACCAATCACGGGAGGGTTTTTCTGGAGAGCAGGGTAAGAACAGGGGGATTTTGCCTTCCCTGTTAGTGGTTTGTCTCATTGCTCCATGCAAACAAAACATCTGTTTTTTCACAAGCTCTCACTTGGACCTGCCAATCTGGCATGGTCTTCCATGAGACTGTCACTTGTCCTCCCTCTGCAGCTTTTAAAATAATAGTGTTTATCTGGAAGGACTGGCTGGTCTCTGAGGCTGGGTGGGGAATGCATCCCAGCCGGGAACTGGCAATACCCCAGCATGCTGTGGGGAATAAAAATAGCATCAGATGAAGGGTATAATACACACAGACACAGAGAAAAGCTTTACAGGAAGGCTTTTTACACGATCTGCGCCAAACCCTGACAATTGCACTGCTAGAGGCAGAGATCTGGATACTTCTTACCCACCATCACGTAGAGGATGTCTGCATCCAAGAGACATGCAGAAAGCTCCCTATATAGACACAGGAGACAAACAGGCATTTCAGGGTACAGCTTGTCTGACCTGTTTTAACATCTAGCTGCAGGTGAAATGACTCACACTCTCCAAGTGCCTTTTTTCTTTCCCTCGACTGTGCAGGGCTCCTGGAGGATGAGTTCAGATGCAGACGCAGGCTTCGTAGGTGAACACTGTTCTGAGTGTCTGTGCTCTGGAAATTGGGTGTATTTTGCAGTTTGTTCTTAGAAGCAGGAAAATAGCACACTCGTCTGAGCACCGCTTGGGTTGGGGTACCCTGTGTCTAAATCCTGGGTCTGACACAAATTCGCCTCTCTCATCAGCATGAGAAAAATGGCAATTACTTTTCTACAACACACTCCAAGATGTGAAAATTAACAGCATTTTTTGCAAACATCTTTACAAAAGTTTGTTTTATGTTGTTCAGCCTAGGCATGAATTAAGCTTCCCTTCTTATTGTTGTCAATTGTATTTGTTGGGATTTTTTTTAGCATTGTTTCCAAAGAAAATGAGGTATATGTCATTGCAGTATTTGTCTGTTATTGGTTGTATCATCAAACATTTTAAAATCCGTTTGGCAGCTTCAGCTAAGCTTGTGTGAAGGACTCACCTTGGATTATTTCAGGCCAAAAGGCAATGGAAGACAGCTCTTCTATTTCCACGAAAGAATTTATGTAAGAAGGTGCCAAGACCAACAGGCCTTGTGAGGACATTGACCCTTTTTATGGGAATTAGACATTCCCATAGGATGTGGGTCAGGTCAAATCCCTCTGGTGGGATCTGAAAGCCGGTGATGGGGCTGCTCTGTGGGTCTCAGCCAGCCGCAAGCGAGCCGGGAGCTGCCAGCTCTTCAGTGTGGTCCAAGGGACAGAGCGTGTCCCTGACACGCTGCCTCCATCGCTGCAGCCGGCTTGGAAAGTTCCCCCTCGCTCCATCCACTCACCCCACTCGCTCCGTCTGCAGTGTTTTCCAGTACAGCTCTGGGTCTGGGCTGTCAGATGGGTCAGTGGCATGGTCCAGGTTAAAAAGAGACCTATTTATTTCTCCAAATTTATTAACCTGGACCATTTCACTGATGTGATTTTCAGTGCTGCTGGGGAAGAGGAACAGTGAGTAGCTGTCTTCAGGGACACAATATTGAATTAAGGTGCCTTCTAGGGATCTAGGCAAATGTATTGGACTGTGAGTAACCAGATGTGAAGGAGATGGGGCTTCTACAAGGCATTGATACAGACAAGATAGCTACCTCTGGAAGAAATTTTTGAGAGGCGACCACCAGCCACATCAGCCTAGCCTGTGCATTAGTGACTGCGCCTTATTGGTAACACTGCAGCTCCAGCCCAGGCTCATGGCAGTGCTCCTCCTTCTGCTCTGCAGGGATGTATGTAGCGGTGGGGACTGAAAGCGTGTGCTTTCTGTTCCACTTTTTGGCACTGCAGAAATACAAGGTGAGCTGAGCCAAGCCAGTTCTCCTCGGACAAGGTCTCCGCTTGCTGCAGGACTCGGCATCCCTTGCCCATCAGCCCCGTTTGTAGCCTGCCTCAGCTTGGGCACCCAGAGTTCATTAGTCACTTGAAAAACTTTACGTTGGTGGCTTCCCCCCCCCCTCGGTGCACACCCGCTGTATTCATCACCATGGCAACCGTGCGCCCTTTTGCTATTACACCTTTCTGTGACTCCGTGGTGAAGGCAGGCATGTATCGAACGCCACTAACAACAGCGTGGGATGTTCTAGGAACGGGACAGGATGATCTCTGGTCAAATATTTACTACTTCTATGAACTTACTGTAATTCTGCAGGACTTTTACCAGTTCTTTAATCCGTTCATGTACCTTCCTTGGAGTCACTTTCTAAGGGGTCTTCGTGAATGGAGCAAGGTTGTGGAGGGATGATTTTCACAGTACAGGTACAAAAAAAGACAGCAGATGGGATGCATTTCAAAGCATCTGGAAAGGCCACGACTTTACTGATTAATTCAGGAGTAGATGGGAGAACTCGTGTGTGTCTCAGCCTGGAGCTGGCTCCCCGACTTCTCATTGCTGCTGCCCTCGTCTGCACTTGGCTTTGGGTTTGGTTATACAAGCTGTCACCTCACAGGAGCTGCTCCAGCAGGGATG